GTGCTACAGTCGGCTAAATTTCAGTTAAACAAATGAAAAACAAAAAGCATTCATACCGCAAAAAATAAAATTCACCCCGTCGACTTGATAGACACCCCCGCATTGCGTGTTGCGCCCTCCCTCTCTTGGGGTGCAGTACTACGATGCCACTGGGGTCACTCAAACCCCCAGAACTGACCCTCTACTTCAGTCAATCCTCTTTGATTCCGCCCCTGAATTCCTCTCCATTTTGTTATGACTTAAATTCAAACAATCGCGCCAAAAATTTTCGAGATTAACACATTTCCGGATAAAGTTATAGCAACAAATTCCAGAGGAATCGCAACTAATCGCCAGATCGTGCCTCACCAGCAGGAGTTCTGCCCAAGGAGAAAGTTTTATCTCGGGTTTGTCGAGAAATTCTTGATTTGAAATCAGAAATCAAAAATAATATCCATAGGAATTCGATGACGTAGGCATCACCCGATTTGATTATGTCATCAGATTGGGAATCCTTTTGCGCATGGCGCCTTGATACCGGTGATTTTAATTGTCGTTTTAAAATTTATTGACAGTTTAACAATCTCTGAAATTCCCCAGGTGACTCTCGATAGGTAGTTATCGATAATAATTAATAATCTGGTGACAGGCGGTGATCGAAGGAAAGGACATCGTTGGATTTTTGCTACGGCCCTGAGAAATCTTCCAACATCGAACTTCAGTCAAAAACTGTCTGGCACGTCGTCGACGTCGACTTTGTCGTCAGAAGGTCTCGGTGTGTCCGATAATTAGTCATTAACGTACGTTTTGAACTGTTGGACATCCAAGTGCTGATTTGTTTGTAATTTTCTCGTGAGGGGGCAATAAACCGAAAAATACTTATTTGGAGACTGGGGCATGTGGCAACGACCGGAGTCATCATCATCAGGGATTATTCAAGTAATTTCATTGTATTAAAATCAATTTTCGTCATTACTTTACGTTTTTTACTTGTTTTTAGTAGAATTCGCGGTTTTGGGGTGTCAAGGTGCGTTATCCGGTGATATCTTCTGACGCAACAAACCGATTTGAATGAGCTCGGTCTCGTTTTCAAGGGTGATAAAATGCCTTTGCAGTGAGATAAGCATTTTCCGATTTGACTCAGCCGTTCTCGAGATATTTGCGACTGAAATTCCAGTCTCTTCTCAGACGTCAAACAAACTGGAGCATCAGGTTTTCGAGTGTATCTTCGGAGATAGAGAAGATAGCGGAATTTTTGTTAAAGCTTTTTTGCAGATCTAGGTCTGTTTCACAAAAAAGGTATCCATACATAATCCGCTATCTCGCCTCACTCTCATGATATTCATGAAAAACTGAAGTGCTCTGGAATGAAATGCGGCTTTTCGATTTTTCTCTGGCAATTTCCAATCGCCAATTCCCAAATATCGTTGATTATTCCTTTAAATCATTATGTTAGACTTAATTAGTGATCGTAGACTATACATGAGTGTGAGTCAATCGTAATTCAAGGCTAAAGTCATACAAATGTTGCTTCATTGTTTTATTGAGATGTTGAATTTGCCAAGAGTTTCTTTGAATTATTGCGACGTATTTATATTTTGTTATCGACTGTTTACAATCGTTAAGTGCGGAATATGTAACAAAAGAGCAGATTAGGTTTCCACTACCCAGGAAATGGTAATGATCGAGGAAACAGTCGCGTTAGGTTTCACGATTATTATTCCAGCAATTGCAATCGTTTTACTTCACTCGTTAATTATTGCCATTCGATTGTAAATTGGAGCGCACGAATGAGACCATATGATTGTCACCATAACCTCGAATCCAGTGACAGACGTTTAACGAGTCTGATAAATTACTTGTCATAATTGTAATAATTAATTCATTAATTTTCTAGATATTTCTCGATAGGAATGACAGGGATTAAATTTTTTGCAATAATTTTGGAGATAATTCTTGTTTAAATAATTTTTTATTCAGCTTTTAAATTAAAAGTGAAAACAAGTGAGCGACAGCTGTCAAATACATGAATTATTGGTCTGAATTCGCAGATTGACTAGGCGATTTATGTGATAATTCTGGAAATGCCGAAGAACTCTGTTGAAAAGATTATGGATAACGAGGTGATTGATAAGGTGGTGACGAGTATTCGGAATGGAGATGAGTCACCGAGTCCTAGGGAAAGTTCTCCTGTTCATCCTGTGAGTTTTTTTTCATTGTTTTCTTTTTTTAATTGAGTTTTTAGCTTTTTTGATATTTTATTGTAACGTGAAAATTGTGAGTTAAGCCCTTTTTTTAATTATTCACAGTCAATTTGCAAGGAAGCACCTTTCAGCGATGATCCTGATGCCCTCCTTGAGAGGGATTTCTGCGATTACAACACAAAAATCACTTTAAAAATGGCGAGAAGTGGAAAAGGTAATCAATCAGTGTCAGAGATATCGATTGTTCTCGGAAAGTATCGATTTTAGGGAGATATGTTGAGAAAGTTTTTTGTCGGAAATCTTATCAGCTACAAAAAAGTCTCTTGACGTTTTCACCAGAAATCGATAATTTTCGGGGTAATAAAATAATTAGTAAATGCTGTGAATTATTCACTGAGTTAAAATTCGGATTTTGTCAAATAATTACAGCTCCAAGACGTGTGAGAGTTTACGCCGATGGTATTTATGATCTGTTCCACCAGGGACACGCCAGACAGCTGATGCAGGCGAAGAATATTTTTCCAAACGTCTACCTCATAGTTGGAGGTAAATAACTCCGAATTTTTTAACTACCAACAGATTGGCTAATTAATTTTCCGTAATAGTTTGTAACGACGAGCTGACACACGAGAAAAAGGGGCGAACTGTTATGACCGATTTAGAGAGGTACGAGGCCGTCAGGCATTGCCGTTACGTCGACGAAGTCGTTCGTGATGCACCGTGGGAACTTGACGAAGAATATTTAGCAGCCCACAAGGTAATCCTCATTCTATCGTCTTTTTCTCAGGAACTATCGATTTTATTTACAAACCCCAAAGGACTTTTTTGTATTTAATTCAATTTGCAATAAAAAATATCTCTTGATTTTTCCTCCTAAACTCAATAATTTTTCAGGTAAATCCATTTTTAACAAAACTTTGACATTTGATTTTTCTTTTAATTCAGAATTTATTTACAATTACATTACTCGCGAGGACAATTAAATGACACATGACGTCAATGAAGTTGAGAGAGGAACAATTAAAGATTAAATTATTTTATAGTATAAATAATTGAATTATTGAGATGATCTGGACCAAAATTAATGAAATTGGAATTCTTCGGGGAAAATAAGTCGATATTGGAGGGAAAAAAATATTTTTCTCAGTGTTCAGATTTATTTTCACGTTTTTCATACCCTGCAGATTGATTTCGTGGCCCACGACGATATTCCTTACTCCTCAGACGACGCAGACGATGTTTATGCCATGATCAAAGCCAAAGGAATGTTTGTAGCTACCCAGAGGACCGAGGGTGTCTCCACGTCTGATATCGTAGCTCGAATCGTCAAAGATTATGATATTTACGTGAGGAGAAATCTCGCGAGGGGATACAGCGCCAAAGAACTCAATGTTTCGTTTCTCAATGTGAGTTAAACCACAAATCATCTGCCTTTTACCCGATTTAATTATTTCTCCAACCTATTCATTAATTTCCACATTTTTTATTTGGATTTGATTATCCGATAATTATTTATCCCCCAATTTTCCTGTATTTTTTCATTTTAAGTTGATGAATTAATGAGTGAAAATTTTTGTTATAAATCAGGAAAAGAAATTTCGAATTCAAAACAAACTGGACGACCTGAAGGACAAAGGAAAACGAGTGATGGAGAATATCGAGGAGAAACGAATGGACATGATAAGCAAATGGGAGGAGAAATCGCGGGACTTCATTGACGCATTTCTTCTTCTCTTCGGGAGGGAAGGGAGACTGGTGGGTATCCGAGGACTGGGATTCTTTATGTTTCTCACAATTTACGTAATAATGCTCGTTATCGGGGTAATAACAGCTGTTGGACTGGCAAAGAAAACACCGAGGAAAATTAACAATCTTTCTTAACAAAACTCATTTTTATAATTTATCTACTTTTCTACTCACAATTTATTGTCCCATAAATAAATTTAATGTCTGACTGCGAGGGAATTCCACTATTTTGGTTGTTATTTTTGCTTTTTGGGAGGAAAATCTGGATGATGTCGATCCAATTATTCAGGTGCATGCTGATTATGTCTGGAGATCTTGGAGAAATGTTAAGTCACTCCCCCTTTTGTTTATTTATTTATTTGAGCTATTGGGTTATGGATTTTTTTGCTAATTTATCGTTGCAGTCCACCATTTGGAACGAGAGTAAGGGACGCCTCATGCAGGCACTTTCACCTCCAGCTAGTCCTAAAAGAGCTGGAAGTCCTGATGGTAGTTGTGGCAGTAATGATGATGATCATACCAGGTGAATTAGGCATAATTATTCTAATTAGGGTTATTATCGAAGAACCGATAGATTCAAATTTTTTACGGAAATATGACGAGATAAATTCGTAGATTTCGGGATAAAATGAAAAATTTTCCTCCAATTTTTATTACATATTTATGTAAAATTGATTAAAGGTATCGAATTTTACAAATATTATAATTAATGGATGCAAATGGTAAACATTTCTCCAAAATTCGTCAATCTCTCATTTAAAAAATCAAAATAAAATAATGGAAATTCCATTAAAAAAAAGCGATTCATTGAAAAAAAATTTTGTTTCCAATGAATCTTTTTTTTTATGATTTTTTTTTACATTTACATCGATAAAAAAAGGTTTTATCCATTTTTTTTTAGAGTAATGATCAAAAATAACATCTTTTCAGTCCACCACCAAAGAAAGCTGGTCGCTACGAATTTTCTCAACCGAGTCACTATCTGAGTGATGACTACAGTGACGATGAAGAGTCAAATCTCCACTCGAAATGATTTAAAATAAGTTAATCATCTATTGCATTCTCCTCTCGTTCATCCTCGTCACCTGATCACTCGTGTGATAATTTCAGGGCGAACTGAAGCACAATTAGGTTGACTCATTAATTTATAATCGATTGACATGTACTGTATTTAAGGAGAATGAAAATTCAGTCAACTCCACGAACTGGAAATGATTTTTGATCGATTGGGAGTTCAATACCGGATCTGACTTTGTGAATTCTGTTTATTTATGATGATAATGATTGTTTCGTTGTTTTTTTTTTTATTCGAGTGGATTGTCAATTTATTTATGGAGATGTGTCTGTGTGAATTTGGTATTTATTTGAGAGGAAGGAGAAACGAGTGTGACAAAGTTAAATTCATGATACCAGCAACGAGTAAATGAAAATCTTCAATATCTTGAGATCCACTGGTGGAATTTCGATCGATCGGGGCTTAACTTGAAGCCGGAAATAATATCTAGAAAATGAAAATTAAATCGATAATTTTCACTCAACCAATCTCGAGATATCGACGATCTCAATTTCGCTTCACACTTTTGTTCATTTAATCATTCTCGTATTTGTACTGATTATCACTTTTGATTCATTTTCTGTTGATTTGATCCACTTTTTTTCCCACGAGACATTGATTTCACTAGAATTTCTGGATGTTATTCACTGTATGGAGTGCACACCGGCTTTAGAATGAATTATTTCGTTGATTTAGAATGAATTTATTTCGTTTATTTATAACTGATGAGGACAATAGCACACTCTCTTTATTTCTAGGCTATCTGTTAATGCTGATATTGAAAATAGTGAAAGTTAACATTGAGAATAAAAATTGTTTTCACGGAATAAATTTTTTTAACTCTGAGGAGATCTGAATGATTTTTTTTCTCAATGCAGAATTAGATGGTACGATTGACCAATGGTGCCTAATTTATGGGTCAATTAGTGATCCTAACGTTCATGCTGACATACTCATGATGATGATTGCTGTAATGAGGTATTAATGCACTTGATGAGAGATTTTTGGAGATCACTGGAGTCAGTGGTTATGCGATTTCGAGGAGTACATGAATTTCAAAAAAAAAATTCTGTTTATTTTAATCTAAATCTCCAAATCTACCAGAGATATCAAAATTTTCGTTATTACCTTTTTTGTAGTCCTCATTGCGCTCCCCAAAAATGGTTATTACACAAATTTTTATAGCTCTCGCTGATTCCGAGATATTGGTGAAAGAACGAGCGAAATTGTTAAGGCGAGTTTTATTATTTTGCTAATGATTTTATGGTCGGATTTTTTACGAGAGAAATCGATAAATTACTGTGGAAATTAATTGAATCATTAGGTTTTAGTGTTCTGGGGTCGGCGAGGGCGATTTCGTTTAGAGTGACTTGAAATTAAATTCACAGGAATAAATCAGCAGCGAAGAGATGATATTTCGGTTTTAATGGGTATTGAACTGTCGGTCTCTTCGCTACTGGAATACTTATTTATTGATCGAACTATTAGAGCAATTGAAATAACGAATATATACCGAGATCGTTGTTTAATATTAATATATAACGACCACAATAAACAGTGAGCAAATATTCAAAGTATTCTTTATTCCGATAAATCCTATTTTTTATTTCTGCAGCATTTATTCGATTTATTGGTTAAAAAATTATTTCGTCTGGAATAAAAAATCTAGGTGAAAAAGTTTTGTTATGGATTAGTGGATATGGATTAAGGGAAATATTTGAAAAAATATCGAAGGTCAAATTTTGGGAATTTTTGGGCGATCTGATTTTTTCAAATCTTGTGCAATTGTCGAAAATTTAAAAACTTATGGAAAATAAATTGATTTTTTGGGTGTAAACTAATTAAATAAGTTGTTTATTTTTGTGACATTTTTTATTTTTCATTTTTATTTTTAATTTATTTTTATTTTTATTCATTTGTCGGTTGAATTTTTCAAATTTTCATTCCTTACCGCCCCCTTTACCCACCCCCTCCAGATGTCAGCACCATTCACTCGTGAGAATTTTCCGAAAACCTGTTAAACAAACAAGAAAACCTGTCCCTGGAAATCGGTGAAAACGTGAAAAATGTGAAAACGTCAAAGGTACGTGAAAAATCTGAGAAAATCCCCTCTCCCTCCAGCTGGAGTTTCAGCACCTGCGCAGAGAGCGATGGATCGAAGGTGCCTGAGAAGAAAATGGTGAGAGAGAAGCCCAAAGAGAGAGACAAAAAAAAAAAGAGAGCCATTGAAAACCGTCAAATCCCCAAGCCATCAAGTGCGTGCCCCTTTATTTACCGCGTGCCCCCCCAACAGATTCCCAAAAATCACCGACAACTAACACAAAAAAAATAAAACTGTGAATAGTTGATTAATTTTGGGACTTGAGACTTGAGTAATTGATACCCCATTATGGATTTTAAGTGATGTTTTTCATTCAGCCAGAGTCATCTCCACGACATGACCAGTCTCATGATGTTATTCTGGTGTGAATAATCGTGCGAAAGTGTTCAATTATTTGGGACTAGAACTGGGCGTCCCGATGTTGTAACAAAAATTAAGTCAAAATGGAAGAGCAGAGCGTTCACAGCAGTATCAGCGATATAAATAGTGAAGAGCCAGCAAAGACTGAGCGTGAGTTATAGTTATTTTTTTCACCTATTTTTTTAACAATTCACTATTTATTTTCAGGCATGTCGTCCTGACTCCAGAGGTACTCCCCACTCTCACTTGTCGAGGCTCAAAATCATCAAAATAAACTCAGATCTAACCCAAAAGACGACATCACAACGAAAATCATTCGTGACGACTCGATTAATTTATTTATCCATTTATATTTGACCAATCCAATTGGAGTTTTCACGTGAGAATTCCAGTAGACGTTTTTTTTTTCAATTTTGAATTTTGATTTTTGGTTTTGGGAATTATTGCACGATTTTTTAATCGATCGAGGGAATTTTGGGGTTTTGAACTCGAGATTTTGGTGCGATTTTTGTATCGCGTTTGTGATATTGCTGTCGTTTCTAGGGGGTGATTGGGTTTCAATTATGATTGGGTTTCAATTATGTACAGGATTATTGCATTGCGTCTGACCTTGGGTGGACTACTCCAGTGTTTACTCGATTTTTTTTACCTTTTTATTGAGTTGTTTTTGCAGATTTAGTGGATTTTTAATATTTATATTTGTTTTATCCATTAATGAAGAAAATTCGTCCATTCAAATTTAATCTCTCATTATAAATAATAACGTTAATTAATAAATAACAGAGAAACATTAGTATTAAACATCTCAAATTAAAAAAATAAATTACTGACGTAATCCTCCAGAGCAACAATTTATTCTTGACAAGAAATAATCTATCCGTCTATTTTCTTCATTTTATTCATCGAATAAAAATTTATTAACTGGAGAAATCCTTTCGTAATATTTAAACAAATTTAATAAACTGATTCAAATAAATTATTCTATCAGTGTAGACTAATTGCTGTGAAAATAGAAAATAATAAATAGTTTTTTCTTTTGATATATTTTTTGGGGAATCAGCTGGTGTCGTCGTTCCTAGGAAGAAGAGGATATGCCTGGTGGGAGCTGCTAGCAGTGATCCAGCTCTTGGTACTGCTGCTCAGCAGTTTGGAGTGCCTGTTCTCAAATCAGTAACTGGGATTGAGTATGTCGAGGACACGACTTACTGCACTTATTTCATTCTGAGGGAATTCGAGGGCCCGGAGTATGAGACACTCCACAAAAGTGCTCACAGAATTTTGGGACCAACTGCACTTTTGCAGCTTGCTGATAAAAAAGAGTCTCTGCCGAGTATCAATCGGCCCATGTACACGAGGGCTATGCTGGGAACTGTCGTTGTTTTCACTGGGTTCAGGAAGAAGGACGAATTGGTGAGGCTTTATCTCAGAATTTTTTCTGAATTTTCTGAGAGAATCCGGGATATTTGGCGCCATTTTCCAGGGATTTTCACGAGCTCCAATCGTTTATTTAATAATTTGTTAATCAACAATAACAAGTGATCGGCAGAATGGAATTTCACGAAGTTAGTCTTATTTTAAAGCTCGAAAGATGTTTTGAAAAATGATACCAATCCCATTAAAGTCACACCACTCAATGCCGAGATATTGGAGACTAAAGAACGCCCTTCTGATTCTTCCAGACGAGGCTGATCAATATGATCCACTGCATGGGTGGAAGCATCCGCAAGGAAGTCGGTGCAAAGGTGACACACCTGATCGCCAACTGCTGTGGCGGTGAGAAGTACAGGTATGCAGTGACCTTCAGGGTGCCTATAATGTCGATGAATTGGGTGCTGGCCCTTTGGGAGGGCAAGGACGACGCCACCAGCTATGGGAGCAATGAGGATCTCATCGTCCAGCACAAGCTGAAGCCCTTCTACGGTGCACGTGTCTGCTTCTTCGGTTTTCCTGATGACGAGAAAAAGCACATGGTCGAGGTACTCCAGCAACAGGGTGGGGAACCCACGGAAATTGATGACCCAGAGTGCACACATGTGGTGAGTTCTCTTCTCTTAGAGATGATTTTCCTTTTTCCCGGAAATATTTCACCGATAAATCCAATTCTTCGTGGGTATTCTGCTAGGTATTTCCTAGATTATTTCCCAATTTGGCTCACATTATTCCATTTCTCGGTGATTTTCTGGGAAGAAAAGAAATCTAGGAGTCAATGATTTCCTTTGTTTTTTGAATTATTCTTCTCTTCCTTTCGGATTGAGGTAGATTGGTACCAGGACTACATTGAAAGCTTATTGAATCAGCTTCAAAATAACACGTGAATCGTGTGATTATCACTATTTTTTATGAAGCTATCACGTTTTGAAGGCAGAAATGTGATTTTCATGTTTTACCTAAATTTGAATTTGAATTTAATTTTTCTATATTTCTAAAGCAAATGAAGAGGAATATTTATATACCATTTTAAAGAACAGGTTTTACTCTTTTCAATGGCATGACTCTTTCAATTCCATCGAATTGATCAAGAGTTATCTAGTAACTATAGAAAAAATAATATATATAATATATTATATGTATTATTTATATTATTTTAATTATAATAATATATAATGTCTAATATATTTTCTTATCAACATTAAGTTTATTAGACTCAATCACATGAATTTTCTACAAAAATTCGGTAGTAGATTTAAAAATAATCCTTAAAAACGAGTGAAGAAATTCCACGAAATTTGTGGGTCTCACATTCAAAGAAAACTTATCCTAAATCCCTCAGGTAACAGATCTAGGTAATAACAGCTACAAGATCGCAGACACATCAAACGTAAACTCTAGAATCTGCTTCGACCACCCGTATTACCTATTTGCCCCCCTCTATACGGAGAAGCCTTGGGCCCCTGGAGTGAAGATCCCAGAGAAATCTCTGACAGATGATACTGGCATCAGCACCTCCCAGGACAGCCTTGTGTCAACCTCTGATTCAATCTCCAATGATTCCTTGAAGAATCAGAGCCAGGATTCAGCGATTTGCATGGAATTCACGAGTAAAGAGTCCAACGACTCCGTAACGAGCACTTCGTCATCCCAGATATCTCCAGATGGTGTGAAACTCTTCAGGGAAGTGTCAGGTTGCCACGAGTTGAATTACTCCAAGAGGCACGTCCCCAGGAGGCGATTCAGATGGAGAAGATCGAGATCTTGCTTCATTCTTCCACCGATTGAGACGTCGAATCAATCTCGATTCGTTAAAATTTACTCACATCCCAATCTATCGAAAAATAATTACGACGAGGAGTTGATGGACTCCAGGAAATTCAGGGGGATGAGGAAGTCTAAGAGTCAGGGGCAGCAGGGGCAGCAGGGGCAGCAGGGGCGGAGAATTTTTGATGTGAATTTTCCATTTGGTTGCAAACGAGAGATTAAAACTGGTGGATTTAGGAGAATTGAAACGAGTCAGGATGCATCCACCTTCTCGACGTCTTCCTCGGGGGCTTTTCCTGGATTCAAAGTGCCCCAGGTGCCAGTGAAATTTCCAAAAAATCGGAGAACTCGGGGGAGGGATACAACTGGACAGAGGGAGAAGAGATGTTTGAAAAAATTTGATGTCGATTATTCTACGGTATTATTTATCGATTCTCCTGATCGTTTGGTGGCGGCAGTATCTTCTCAGGGGGTCGTCATGTCTCAATAAAAAGTCCTCGTTTATTTGTTGTTTATTTTGTATGGATTTTTCATGGTTTTTATGGAAATTTTGGGCTTTTCTCAGGTTGTGGACGAGTCCAATGTGAATTCGTTGCCAGATCTGGCCTCTGTCAGGGCTCATATTGTCAAGGCTGAATGGTTTTGGACGTCTGTCCAGAATGAGGGGGCTGCTGATGAAAAGGAGTATCGATTTGAAGATGTGAGTCATTAATTATTGATTTGTTTATCTATTAATTAATCAATTAACTCAGACCAATTATAACTGATGTTTCATTCAATATTTCCTTAATTATCGTTTATCTCCAGAGCTATAAGTTTCCAGTGAACATTCTAGGGAACTTTTTTATAGATAATTAAATTTCCGACAAAAAAAGTCCTTTGATATTTCTTCCAAAAATCAACAGTTTTTGAGAAAAGATCATTTTTAAAACGACTAAATCCACTAAAAAATTATCGTTGCATAAAAATGATTAATGAATTAATTAAAATAATTAATTCAATCCACCAGTGATTGTTATTGTTATTTATTATTCATTACTGATAGTAATGGATGCATAAATAATAATGTTTTATAGAATTTTAATTTGTTTATTGATTGTACTGACAAAAATTCGACTCATCGAATTAATTTCAGATATTGAAATGAAAAAATCATTTACTGATTATTTTTTCACTAGTATTTGGAGTCAGTGATGTCACCAAGTGCCTCGTCTCGAAGGGAGAGCCAATCAGCTGCGACACCCACGACAGCATCCACGAGGAGAAAACGTAAACGTCTAGCAGAGACTCTATCCAGTCTAGTACAGAATGGAGCAGATTCACCTGCTGTTCATAAAAGACGATCTAGCATCAGTGATGCTGGACATCTGAGTGTCAGCGGGAGTTTTTTAGATTGCACTGCCAGTCCTGACAAGCAGATGCTCGATGGTCAGTTCACTGGGAGAAAAAACGTATCTCTCCGAATAATTGGAAATTAATACAAGAAAATATTCTCTTCTCAATTGCCCCAATTTCCCTCTAAATAATTTCAATGGATTCAGTAATTGCAATAATTTCAATAATTTCAATTATTAATAATTGGACTAATTTTAATAATTTCCTAATTTGGCAATCCTAAAAAGAAAACAGATTCCCCTAAATATTGAAACAAAAACTATTTATGATTAATTTACTGAGAAAATATACCAGTATTCAAATTGTTTATAATTAACTAAATGATTACATTGTGTATCAGATAATTTTTCAATTTTTTAATTAACGAGAGAATATTTCGTGCATTAAAATCGATTCGGTGAGAATTTGTTTTTTCCTCAGTGCAGATATTCAATAGACCGAGGATTCATTAATAAAGATGCTTTTTTATTTATTGGGATAAATAACAAAAATCAATAATAGATATTCCAGAGGTCGAAGCTGTCACTACAGACTCAGCACGCAAGAATCTCTCCCCGAGGCATCAGGTGGTCCTGGAGCTAGTGCAAACCGAATCCAATTACGTCGGCATTCTCAGTACAATTATGACGGTACAATTGGAGTTTTAATTATTCCCATTTTCCTCCAATTTTCCCCACAAATTTTTTTTTAAATTGCTTTCAAAAGGTCTAATACAGTTATCCAAAATTTCCAACAAACAAACAACAAATTTCTCTTCGCAGTTATTCAAATCCCCCCTTGAGGACTACATAGAGACGAGCAACGAATTGCTGAATAGTACAGAGGCAAAAATAATCTTCGGTAATTTTCCCCCAATCTACGATGTCCATAAAAAAATGCTGGAGGAGTTGCGATATTGTGCAGCCCACTGGACCGAGGACACAAGCATAGGAAATATATTTCTGAAATACGCCCCAGACCTCGTTGACACGTATCCCCCCTACGTGAATTTCTTCGAGAACACAAAGGAGATGTTGGAGCAGTGCGACCAGAACAAGCCACGTTTTCACGCTTTTTTAAAAATCTGTCAGACAAAACCAGAGTGTGGGAGACAGAGTCTTAAAGAGCTGATGATAAAGCCTGTACAACGATTGCCCAGTATTAGTCTATTATTAACCGATATTCTTAAGCACACGAATAAGAATAATCCAGATCACAGTGCCTTGGAGCTTGCTATCAGCAGTATTAAGGAAGTTATGACACATATCAATGAGGACAAGAGAAAAACTGAGGGTCAGCTTGTCATGTTCGATATATTCAATGAAATTGATAACTGTCCACCCCATCTAGTCTCGTCACACAGGTCTTTCATTGGTAAATGCGATGTTATGGAGCTCGGGGAGGGGCTCAGTGGTCGTGGTGATCATTTGGTACTTTTTTTGTTCACTGATACCATGGAGATATGCAAGAAACGTTCCAAAGCATTCAATTCACTGAAGAGTCCCAATATGGCCAATGGATTGCACACGGCTAAACTCAGCCAGGGAAAACCCTATAAACATATTAAAATGTTGTCTCTCAGCACAATTAAGAAGGTTGTCGACATTCGGGAAACTGATGGTCAGTTATCGCCATTTTACATCATATTCACCTCATTTTTCCGACTAATTAATGATTTGCCATTTTGTATTATCGATTTATCTTCTTACGTATTGAATGTACAGAAAAATGTCAAGTGGTAGTTTTTCGAAAGAATTTTGAGAGCTACAAAAAAGTCCTCTAGCACTTCAGTCTCAAGTCGATCGTTTCCAGGGTTTATCGATAATTAAGAATAATGGGATTTGATTCATTAGAATTTAGCTATTCGTTTATCATTTTTGTTCATTCTATTTAATTAATGACATTGGAGGTGTTGAGTGTTCATTTTAATGTTTAATTACAGAGTGCCAGAAGGTTTTTGCCCTCATGGTTAGGAGCAATCAAGAGCTGAAGGAGAAATTATTTTCATTTACAATTACTGATGAGGAGGTCAATAAAACAAATTATCTTAAAACTTTGTGCAGACAAATGGCGAATACTGTCTGTAAAGCTGATGCAGTAAGATTTAAACTGATAAATAAATTTTAATGAATAATTTGAGGGAATAATTCATGTTGATATTTTTATTTATTTCCCCAGGACACTTTTCTCATCAGTCTGGACTCTCATCAACTGGAAATTGATACTAGTGACGTCGCTCTGGGAACCCTGAGCAAAGCATTTAAGTGAGTACCTCAATCTTCAAGATAATCATCAATAAATGTTGTCAAGAGGCTTGTAATGTCGACTGAAAACTTTCTCTCCATCCTCTTCATTATTTCCCTCACGAAATAGTAAACTGAAGAGCCTTAATAATCGATTTATCTCGAGAACCATCGATTTCAGGTGAAAACATGAGATGAATTTTTTTAAGATAATTAAATTTCCAATAAAAATACCAAATGAGATTTTCTCGTGAAATCAAAACTCTTCGAGATATCGAAGTTTAACGAAACTGTTAATTTCACATTTTTATCCTTTCGCCTCTGAATCTTTTCATCTTCAGCTCGTGGTAGCACAATTGTTGATTATCTTTTATCTTCAATCATAGTAGCACAATAATTGTTAATTTATCTTTATTTCTCTCTGCATGGGAACGGATTCGATAACGGGCACACACGACGTTTGGTTGCAGGAGCCTATTTCATAATTTTTACCTGGAGTATATGGATCCGTATGTGTTCCCGCTCAATAGCATGTGTGATTTTTTTTATTTCCGTATGATTTTCAAGGGTTCGTTTGCCTTCTCAGATGCACTGTAGAGAGATTGAAACAATTAATTAGCATGTGTAATTTAAAAATTGATAATCCATCAGCGAACTCACAACCCAAAGCAATTTCGCTGCACTCAATCCCCAAAAACCCCCCACATCTCCGAAACTACTAAAGATATCAAAATTTTTATTGTAACATTTTTTGTAGATCGCGAAAATCTCCACAAAAAAGGTTCTGATAAAAATTTCGATATTTGCTGGAGGTCTCGAGATTTTTGGAGAAAACTAGAGAATTGGGAAATTGGGAATTCGCTGATTTCGATAATTAATCATTGGAATGATTGAGTGTTGCGAGTAATCAATTGGTGATAATTAATGGTTTATTTTATTTGAATAGATTCGCCACACGTACGAAGATGAAAGTTGGGAGAGCATTCAGCTTCAACAAAACACCCAGCAAATTAAAAAGGGCAATGTCCACGATGATGTCTCCATTTGGTTCAACCCACAGTCTGACACCAGCAAGTCAACAGCTTGCGCAGATGCGATTGGCCAGTTGTAACAATATCAATGTTAGTTAATCATCAATTTAATTATTCCACTTTTACAGATTTCCTTCAGTTTTCTTTTTCTTTTTTAATGGAAGCAGAAGTCCTTCGCAGATCTGGAAATTTTTTTTTTCTCGTTTTACTTTTTACCTCGAGGGATAATTACCTCTTCTTCTTTTCTTCTGAATAAACTTCATTTTCTCCTTCATTACTGCATACTTTCCTCCACCTGACGCTCGATTTATCTCTCGTTTAATTAATCTGTCGTTTTATTTTTTGTGCTTAACACTAGTTTGAGGATAATTGTCGTCGTAAGACCAGTAAGTAATCGTTATCAAGGATCAGGGGTGTTGGGATTATTTGCTGATAACAACATTTAGATTTTCACGGATATCGATTTATTTGAGAGAAGTTTGGGGGGATTTTTTGGGATTTACTGCTGGAATTCAGTGGCATTTCTTCGGTGTTCGGGATTATTCCTGTCTTCCTTTAGGGTTGAGGTGATAGATTGTGTACTGGTTTGAAAGCTCATTCAATCAGCTTCAAAACAAGACATGAATTACGTGATTACCATCATTTTTTGTGGAGCTATCACGTTTTGAACGTGAAAATGTGATTTCGTTGGTGGAGTTATTGAAATTTTTTCGTTATGCCACGTTTTAAAATTCACGTTTATTGCTAATTATCGTAGCATTCAGGGTGATTTACGGGGATTTATTGAACATTACAATGCTGTTTGATTTTTGAAATTCCATCGATTTGATCAAGAGTTATCGATGATAATGTCTCGAATTTCCCGTGTCACGTTTCAATAAATCGTAATTCCGTTCAAATAAAATCAGCAATAACTTTTATTTTTTCCAGAATTTTATTACTCTTGACTATTAAAAATAATAAATTCCCATACAACGAATTTCAATTTTGTGACAATATTGAAAAATAAATAAAGTCATTAAACGACAGTATAATTAAAAAAAAAAGGACTGGACACTTTTAGACTGTCTCCGCCATTTTTGTCGAAAAAAAAGGGCTGGGAATGAGTTAGAAACTTCCCAACTTCTTTCAAGTAATCGTACATTTGTGGATAATAAATATTTATCCCAGTGGAGTATTTGAGATTACTGAGACATTTATTTTCAGGAACTGGGCAATGGTGGGTCAGATTCGTCATCTAGAGACGAGGTTCTCGTTGCTCCAATGTCAGTTCAACCGACGAGAAAAGCTAAATGCAGTTCCCTGAGTATCGCCTCATTAAGAAGGTTGTAAGGGCTTAATTAAGGGCTTAATATCCCAATTAATCCGACGAAAAAGACGCAAATCCCCTCGCACTCATCCAACAGCTTCACCCCCAGCCGCTTGTCCCATTATTTAATTAACAACAAACGATTAAATCCAATGATTTTTATTTGTGTAATAATATATGAGTAATCAGTGGCTCTAATTATCTCTAAACGTCTCGTTTTCTCTTTTTATCATCTAGAAACTGTTCGGAGGAGGTCATTGAGGACAAATCGAACATTTGAGATATTTTTCAATAAAGTGGCCTTTTTTTATTTATTTAAATAAAAACAAGTGGAATATTGTGTGGAGCTTGTGATTGTGTATAACTGAGGAATCAAGTGCCTGATAGAATTCCAGTATCGAACATTGTAAATAGATTAATAGATCGATCTCATTTTTCACTTTTCCTACGCTCGTTAAATTTTTTTTCACGCATTTTGTCTCATTGAAAAATGTGCCATAAAAAATTGAGAATTATTGGAATGAAGTCAATTTTCGTGGCTGATATTGTCCAGATTATTGATTCAATTCTCCAGTGAAAATAGGGGATCGTGTGAAAAATAATTCCTCAGTTCCTCAGATAGCATTTTTGGTAATTAGAGTAATTAGAGAGGTATAATCACGGGATTTATTGAATGGTGGGGGAATGCGTTGGTGGACTCGTTTTTTTTTTTATTTATTTGCTTCAGTTTTGAGGAGGTGGGATTTTTTTTTTTTGAGGTGGAGATATGTCGCGAGATTTGCTAATTGTTTATTGATGATTATGGGCCCTTGATGACAGCAATTTTAATGGTTTCCATGAGACACAGCTGTGCTGTGGATTTTTTGAACATTAAATTGCCAATATTTACTATCACTTTTTGGTTATTATTATTGATGATGATTTGAGTTAGTATTTATCGTCAATGAGTGCTGGGGAAATTGATTCGAGGTAATTACAATTGTGATTGAGTCGAAATAATTTTTATTGGCCTTTTGTAAATATTGAATGATATTCTAATCGAATAGCTCGTAAAACGATAATTATATATTTTTTATGATAAATTGGAGGAAACGTGAGAATCATTCGGTGGCTTTTTTTTCTTTTCATTAAGATTATCTACAACGATTTATAATAAATACTGTAATAGATTGTAAAAATAATGAGAGAAAATTTTAATATCGCAATCAGGTTTTTTTATTCGTCCTTCCCTTTTGTTTAGGATGGATTCGAGGGTTATTAAATAAATATTAGATTTTTCGTTGTTAATTGAAAATAATTTACAAATTTCATGTGTAATGGTTTATTCGATGTAAATGTATATATTATATATATTTATTTTATTTTTATTCTAAAATTACATATATATATGAAATATAAACTATATACTTTATTCAATATTTTATGATGGAAAAAGACGTGGGAAATCCCATCGTGGAATTCTTATATTTTTGTAATCTAAGGGAAAGCTTAAAAAAAAAATTACATTGGACCTTTTCATTTTATAATCTCTCTGATTCTAGCTCAGAGTTTGAGTCTGACTGTTTGAATTCCGATTCTTATATATCTATCGTTGAAAAATGAAATGGAAACTCATGTAGTAGCACCACAAAAATAACAATGCAAAATAACAATGCAAATAAATTTTTGCAATAAAAATTTTCAGAAGAATAAAATTCTGTTTTTTAAAGATAAAAATTGAATTTCTTTCGTCTATTAAATTGTTAATTTAATCCGAGATGTTGTGAAATTATTCCATTAATTGTATTATGGAATAATTGAAAGGGCAGTTGATTGTTTATTTATTTTTTATTTATGGAACGTCGAATTTCATTGAGTTCAGGGATGGCGATTGAGATTGAGTTAATTGATAACATGTTATCAGAGCGGATAGTAGATGGTCTGGGGCATTGATTTTCCAGGGGATGCGGGTTTAAGGCTCGTCCTGATGCTGCGGCTTTTTATTCACCTCCAGAGGAAGGACCTATTAATTAATCACTTTTGTTTATTTATTTTGACAGAGTAATTGAAACCTTTAGGAGAAAAGACTATTTGACACATTTATTTTTAATAATTTCTCTGTAGAATTTCTGAGGGAAATAATAATACTGATATTTTACGTTAAGCAATGATTTATTTAAATAAATAACGGTACAGAAGAGTAAGATGGTTGTTTTATTGTTAATTGGGTAATTATTTCCGTAATTAATTCTCTGATTTGAATTGAATTTGAATTTTCAATTGAATTGTTTGAAAGATAATGAATTGTGAAGTATAATTAATTTCTTGGGGAACACAATTGTTTATTAATAATTACTTAATACCATTAATTTCGTAATTAATCTCTTGATGTTTAATTGAAGTCTAAGAGAATATTAATTACATTTTTTCGGTAGAAATGATGTTTCATTATTAATTATAATTATTTTTTTCTTGGAAATCGAATAATAGTTAATTGTTTTATTTTGTTTATAATTAATGATTGAATTCAACGAAAATTCGGGGGAGTGCCTGGGAAATTTGGAGAGCAGAAAAATTTCGGAAACTTTTTTTTTTCTTTTCCAGCCCTTGAGCTGTTTTTCCCCTCATGACGTGGAATTTTTCTCTCGTTTCTCAGACTTATAAGTGGATCAAGGGACTGGGGAGATATGAAACGGCTAAATGATTCATTAATAATCGCCCACGTCCCTTCACCCAAAATCCCCAATGTTGTTTACATCAATCCCCATTGACCTAGAAATAAAATTTGTATCACGGAATACAGAACAAATACACGATTGAATGGGAATTTATTTATTTTTATAAGATCACAAGTTAATCTTTTCGTTTCATACCATTTATTATTATTACTTATATTACACGATCATTGACATCATTTCATCCGAAAATATTTCTGCAATTATCTTGAGAATTGTAGAAAATTTCTTTTAGTTTATTGCGTTAATAAATATTTTAATTAAATGTTGAATTATTGAAATATTAGAATTTTGCAATTTTACGATTTTTTGATTTTTTAGATAAAAAGGGAATATACTAATTATTTATTAAAAGGGTGATTAAGTAGTTGTTAATTAGGGTGTGAGGAGGGGGAGGGGGTAATTCGATTTTAGTTAATTATAATGGGGCAGGAGGGGTGGATTTTGATGTTTATAATCGAATATAATTGATTATTAATGTTTTTGGGGATTTGAAACAAGAAAAAAAAAGAAAAAGAAGAAAAAAATGAAAAAAAAAATTCGTCGGTTCAATTTCTATTTAGATTCGCATTTTCCCATTCAATTCCATTCCATTTTTCAAGTTTATATAAAAAAAGTTGAGAGAATGCTTAAATGAATGAAAATTGTAATAAAATATTGCAAGATTATCATAAATTATCGATTCATAAAAAATCTCAAAAAAATTATTCTTCCCCTCAATTCCCGAAAATCCACTTTTCCCGTTTCCCCTTTGGAAGACCCCCGAGGCCTTCGAAAATGGAAAATTTCCCGGAAAAGCGGCGCTTGTATCGACGAATTTCCGCTGCATCCGCCGACTGGTCCTGCGCCCTGATGCTGCGTCCCCCCAAAAAAAAAGAAAAATCTTTAAAAAAAATTACATCGCTCAAATTAATTGACTCGAATCTCCAAAAGGTGGAGAAAAAATTGCAAATGAAAAATGCATGGATGCAGATGAAGATTTCCCTTTGGGGAAAATGAGATATTTTTTTTTTCAAGTCGTCGAGACTTTCGTCTCGTCGTCATCTCGTGGTCCTGCGCAAGCATCCGAGTGCGTCATACCGACGACAACGAGTAATTTCAAGTAATTCTCGGATCTAGGAGGTACCAGTGAGGGCCAGACCGCCGCCATCGCCGCTCCCTCATCATCCCCTAATGACAATTAATCAGCTGCACTGATAATCAATTCAGCACATGTTGCACTGAATTTTTCCTATTAATTTTCACCAACAATAAACAATAATATCCACTAAACAAATGATCGGCTACTCGTTGCAATAAATATTTGTGCTATTGTGCCAGTGAAAAGTCGGAAAATTCGGTTTTCAACGTGAAGATCAAGTGCAATTGGAAAATTTCAGGGGAAATTCCGGGAAATTGTTGATAAGCCCTTGAAGATAAAGTGCTATTGGAAAATATCGGTGGAAATTGAGGGAAAATTTCGGGTAATCGTTAAGATTTTCAAGTTGATTAAGTGCTATTAGAAAATTTTGGAGGAAATTTAGGAAAATTTTCGGAAAAATTCGGGATTATTTCGGGACAACTTCGGGAAATTGTTGATAATGTTTTCTTGAGGGATTGTTAATGTTTTTTTATGGATCGATGAGGGGATGTGATGATGGGATTGAGACGATTGGGAGATTGTTGTGCGATTAGGGAATTTTTTCGCGGTCTCATTTTTTCTTGGATTTTCCACTCAGTACGAGACATGGCGGACGCAATTGCGTTGATTGATTATCATTAAATGAGTTTATCAATGGTTTTTGTCGTTGTCATCGTATCGCTGTTTGATTTGTCATCTTGGAGGAATTTTTCTGGGGTTTTTCCGACGTTCCGGCGAAATTTTCCATTCCAAACGGATAAAATGACAGTGCAACCCTTTCCGTTGAGTACATGTAAGTGATTTTTATGTTTAATTAGCGTTTTGGTATTCTCAATGGGCGAGATATTTTTTAGACTGATTAGACTGTGATAATTGAGAGGGAATCGTAATTTACGTAACGATTCAGTGCCGAACGATCGGTTTGAGATGATTTTGCGGTTTTCGGGGAATATCTCGGAATGGGGGGGTGATATCCATGTTTTTGTGTGAACCTTTTTTGGAGAGCGAGGGGAGAGCTGGAAAAATGGTTATTATCAAAATTTTCATATCTAGGTTAGATCAGGGGATATTTATTTATTTTATGCAGAGGAAAAATTTTTTTAAGTTCATTTTCGATTATCTTGGAATCTAGAGCGGAAAATATCTTCGGATCCAAGACAGATACCAAAATTCTTATCAGAACCTTTTTTATAGAGTGATTTACGAACTTCAAAAAAGTTTATGACAAAAATTTATCTATCTCCCTTAGATCCGAAGATATTCCTCAAAAATGAAATACCCTCTACATTTCCCTTATTTTCTAATCCCAATAAACACACGTAAAAAATAATTAATTATTGCAATAATTACAATAACAACAACGTCATAATCACCACAATTATTATCCGATTGTATAAACAATTAGTGGTAGAATAAAATAAAAAAATTTTGCGACTAAATATCCAATTGCAATTGAAAAGCAATTCTTTTTTTTTAATTAATCATTATGAAACTTAATTAAAACTTTTATAAGCTAAATTATACCATGAATTAAATTAATTAAATAAAACCGATGAAAAACACTGATAAGAAATGGAACAACAAAATTTTGATTGAGTCGCTGTAAAATTTTATTTAAATCTTTAATTGTCTTTCTTCGAAAAATCTATTAATTGAATTGAATTGCAATCGAACGAAAATTACCCAGAAAAATCCACGTGTTCGATAACTCTTGACACATTCCCCGGGTAATTAACCCCTCATTACACGTATTTTTACCCCATCCGTGACCTGATTAAACCCCCGGCAATTCTATTATTCCCAGTCCCTCATTATCCCCCGTAATAATTGCATGCATGTGCCGTCTTGAGAGGCGCGTTAAGATAACGAGTGGTAGGGTGGTGGGAGGGGGGGAGGGGGCGGACGGGGGTTAGGTAAATGAAAAAATTACAAAAAAAGTGGTGGTGGTATTTTATTTTTTTCTCCGGTTAGCGGGGATGGACCCCGGGACGTCGTGCCGGTCGCCATGGCAACGTCGGGGCTTCCGTTGAGTTTTTGCCAGCGGTGCGCCGTCATCGGTGAATTGTTAACCCCCGAGACATCCCCGAGACAGGGGTGAATAGAAAAAATAATAATCGGGGTATGATTTGGTTGGATGAGTGAGAATTTTTTGGGAATTCAGAGGGGATTATTTACTCGAGGCCAAGGGGCTAGTGAAAATCACGTGGAAATCACGTGGATTTTTTTTATTTTTATTTTTTATTTTTTTTATTTTTATTTTTTTTATTCGTAATTTTCAAATATTTTTTCGCGTTTTATTAGAATTTTTATAATTGTTTATTTTACTCGAGGCCAATGGGCTAGTGAAAATCACGTGGAAATCACGTAGAACTTTTTTTATTTTTGTTTTTTTTTTTTTTTATTTTTTAGAATTTTTTTATTTTTATTTTTATTTATTTTTATTTATTGTTTAAACAATTATTTTTAATAGCAATATTGGTTTATTATTATTATTATTTATTCTATGTATACTGTATTTGGGATTTTGACAGATAAAAATTTGAATGCTCTACGTCGGGACTCGAACCCGCGCCTCTCGGGTCCCTCGCCCAACCGAGCGATTTAAACAATTCGGCCAACGTCATCGGTCAATATTTATTTAATAAAACAATTGATTTTTATGATGAAACCCTAAACAATATTCTTTTCTCAATCTGATAATGAATTACGTTTGACATGAATTATAATAATTGTGTAAAAATCAAAAGATGAGACTTCTGGAAATGAATAACTAATAATATAATTACAATAACACTCCATTCGCAGAGATTACAATTTCTGTTAATAAAATATTAAAGAATATTTTTCCTTTTTATTTTCGTTTTATTTTATAAGTAAACATTAATATTATGATAATTACTATAAATATGAGAAGAAAAATGGGAAAAAGGAAGAATGAATAATTGATAAAAGATAAACATCTCACGAAGGATTCCCCAAGTTAATAAAAAAATCATGAAAAAATGTTGAATGAGCCCTTGACACGAGTAAATTGTCATATTGGTTTCTCTGACCCCCAGGTTGCACTGGAGGATTTGATAATGAGAACACGTGGGAGTCCCTGAAATGAATACCTGGAACATGAAGGACACTTGTTGCACGAGTGTAACGTAAACTCGTATTAGCAAAAAAGTTGGCGATCATATAAATAAAAAGAATTTAGCAGTTAAAATGTTGCCCAGAAGGCGGTGACCCAGGTTACGCGGAATGTCCCCTGCCTTGAGGCCCAATGATGATGATGATGATGACAATTTCACGAGGTGGTCTGACCCAGTGACAAATAGGACAGATGTCAATTTCAAAAGACTAGACTGGATTTTCTACGTGGAATGTCTTCAGGAGCGAAAAGGCTGGTGCAGTCGCTCCGGGGCCGTAACTCGGGCCCCACCAACAAGGACACCAAGGGTGGATCCAGTGGTGCAAGTACCAGTGCAACGAGACTCTGTCATTATGACAGCGGTCATGAGCTCGATGAGATATCGGTTGTGGGTGGTACACCAACTACACCCTGTCATTGTCCAGGAAAATTTGGCAGCGGTCAGACCCTCTACAGTATCGCTGGGTCAGTACCACCGGGCCCAGGGGGACTCCTGAGGAGCGCCAACAGGAGCAATGTCTCAGGGGGTCAGTGATAACTCATATATTCTGTTAAACCATCGGCTCAAGTTAACAGAAAATCGTGATTCAAATTCAATAATAAGTCAATCGATCATAGGTGTTGAGTACTTAGTACTTGGGCATTGGATGTACTTAAGTACTTGGGCACTCATTTTTTTTTTTAGTACTTGAGGCATTTGGTATTTTACTAGTAAACACATATTAAAGTATTTTATGTACTTTAGGGCTCGAGTACTCGGGTACTCAAGTACCAAAGCACACAAAATAGTACTTGGATGCCCAAGTACCAAGGTACACATATACTTGGGTATTCAAGTACTAAAGTACATAAAATAGTGCTTGAATATTCCAGTACTCCAGCGCATAAAATAGTACTTGGTTATGCAAGTACTAAAACACAAAAAATAGTACTTGTGTACTCAAGTACTAAAGTACATAAATACAGTACATAATTCAGTATCTGATGTACTTTTATGATCCAGTACTCAAGTACTTTAGTACTTGGTCATCCAATGACTTTAAACCACTTTTTTTTTGAGTCCATTCGTGTCATTTCAGGAAATTTCACGTAGAACTTTTTTTTTTAATAAAAATATATATTTTTTTATCGATATGGGGAAAATTTATTCTCCAGTTGATTTAGAGAATCTCATTTATCTATAACAATGGGAGCAGGCCGGTCGATTTTTATTTTTACCTGGAACGTACGTATTCATAAAAAAATCTGGCCATTTCAATCTGAGTTTTGACGGATGTTCCAATTTCACTGGTTTACAGCTCAATATTCACTCAAAAAATCCGATAAAATTTCCATCTGTCGTTTGTCTATAAACGGAAATGGATATTTGACATAAATAATACTGGAGCTGGGGGAAACGCTTTCTGTGTTTATTATCTTTTTCGCGTACTGATTTTTCTGAATGACAGGAGAATGAATTAATTTTTACTCACACGAAAAAATGAGTGAATCTTTAATAAATCCGAGGAACATTCAATCCTAAAAAATTGCGTGTTGGATAAGTCTCTTTGATAAACAAAATAGAACGAAAAAAAGGAAGGGAGATTGGGAATTCTCTTTGTTTATTGCTTGTGTGGATTTTGGACGTGGAATTCTATTTGATTTCTCTAATTCTTGCACCTCTTGGATTCATTAACCGGATTTGCGTTTCGCTGGTGTAACACTGGACCAGAGGTGATCGATGAACCAGCATTGGTAATACTCTGGCAAAAAGCCAAGAGCCGGGGCTGCGCCGACTTTATCGATGAATCCACTCCTGAATTGGCTCTTCTCCAAATATCGATAGGTTCCATCCAATGAGATTTCTTCATTTAATCCCTTACAATCTCATAATTCCATTTTACACGAGTTACCAAGTACCCGTAATGCGTTTACGCTTCGTTGATATGCAATTACATCCGGAATTATCTGTACATATTTCCGGTTTAATGAATCAGTTATTCTGAAATTTGTAATTTGTTTCTGCCCAAGCACATGGGATTATCTTGAGAACTGTCGATTTCAGACAAAAATGTTAAAGAACTTTTTTGTTCTTTATTAAATTTACTAAATAAAAGTACTTTTCACATTTTTTCGTAACATTCGTTGTTTCTGGATTAATGCAGATTCAATAAACCGAAAATTTCATTCGTTTTACTCCAGTAAAATTTCATCTATTCTGTTAACTATCGCTTTATCTCGAAAACTATCGACTTGAGATAAAACCCCCAGAGAACTTTTTTGTAACTGATTAATTTCTGAATATAAAAGATTATTTGACATTTTTTCCTAGAATCGATAGTTCACGAGATAAATCAATCATCATCCGGTTAAAATAATTATCGAACCCATCACTCCCTGGGACTTCATTAAATTCCACTTTCATATCCGCCCTGAGAAAATAAATATGCCTGAGGATGCATTCAATCAATAAAAACATCTGGTCCCCCCAACAATTTATTTAAAAATAATTGTATTTAAGTCTTAATTAAATAAATGAAAATTTATTGTTGCAGGGCATCCAGGGAGCGGCGGAAGGACTGAATTCAGGAGTGGAGAGACTATTTTGCGATCTGAAGAGGATTCCAAGAGTGTGGAGAGTGCAGCCTCGAGATCTCGTCAGAGTCTTCTCGATTTTGTTGTTGGCGGAAGATTTATATCGAGAAATCCAACCCCCAGCAGATATTATCACCCACAAAACCGTCAGGATCAGTCCCGTGGACGTCAGGAACAGCAGGTTCTTATCCCATATCTTAATTCCAGTGGACAATTATTACGGGCTATTAATTTTGCGATACTTGGACGGTTTAGAATCAATTATGAAAGTAGAAGTACTTAAGTCGGCTTATCCCTCTTAACAGTTCCTCTCAACAGGATTTTCACTTATCTCCCAAGTTAATTTATCCTTTTCCCACGATTTACTAATTTGTTTCCCACATTTTCACTGAGAATTAGACCAATTAGTGTGGAATATGTATTTTTTAAATTTGAGTTTATGAAATTGTCGTGGAGTTCCAACGGAATTATAAAAAAAAAGAAAATACGGAAAACCATGACCAAGAGGTTTTAGAGTTCCAACGGAAATCCAACGAAAGTTCTCCGGGAAAACTTCTGATTTTTCCCCTTCACATTAAAAAATCTAGTGTTAAAAGTGCGAATGAAATCTCAAAGTAGAATGAATTGTGAGTGAAAATAAAATCCTTCCGGATAAAATACGTCGTCATTAAAATGAAAAACAGATAAAGCCTATCATCTACATTCCTCAACGGCATTCACTCATTAAAGTCGACGTAAAAGCTCGACTCGCGTTGTATCGCGGAGGAAAAATAGGATTTAATGTTGTTTCTCCATAAATTCACCTAACGACTTGCGTTAATGCACATCTGACTGTCTCCTTGATGGAAATATTTGATTTATGGGAATTTTTACAGATTTATTCTGTCTCCCAGAGGTATTTTGGTTCATCGAGGGATTCATTGCACGCGGCGTATGTGAATCGCGGTGCCAGCGAGCTGGATCTCAGCAGAAAACCCAAAAGAAAGGACCAGTCGAGGGGAAAATTAAAATTTCCAAATGTATCGGGTATTGCGTCAACCAGAGAGAGTCCACATATTCGTACACTGGTGTCCACCAATCATCTGAATAACAACGGCAGCTGCAACGGCACAGAAACGTGAGTTACATCACGAAATCTCGGGTCAAACGTGCCTTTCAAAATCACATTTTATCCTCGAGACTATTTTCTTCAGCTCGTACATCTCAACAAATTAATCAGTTCCACCCAAATCAGTTCTTCATCATTGCAGACAATTTTTCCTATTTTTTTATTCCAGAGAACTCTCGGAGTTCCCGGAAATTTTTGAGACGTTGAAAAATAATTTTCAACTTTCTGAGATTGTTTTTTTCAGTGAAAAGACTTGAGCGAAAATTCGAGTGAATATTTCCGTATGAAATGATAAATTCTGACGTTTCAGATTTTAAATCGTCTGATTTTCATTTTTCAAGAATTCTTCGGTAAATAATATTTATAAATAATGATGATGAGCTCAATCTATAAAACAATTTTCAATAATCAGAAAAATATTTTCAGAATTTAAACATTATCTAGATATCATTATTAACTATTATTAACTATTATTAACTATTATTAATTATTATTGATTATTATACCATTTATTATAACTGAATCTGGAAATGATTTGTAAAGATCATCTAGATTCGATAGATTTTTTTTTCTCAGAGTTCCCTCGGAGTTCTGATTTTATTGATGAATTGTTGTTGAAATGAATTGTTTATTGAAATTTATATTGGAAAGGAGATATACGGCACAGCAGCAGCAGCAGCAGAGGGGAAGCAGAGGATATCCTGGACAGATGGGCACCAGGGGTTTCAGGACGGGTGCACCAAACTGGTCCTTCGTCTTTGATCCTGCAGGGAGGCTCTGCTACTATTGGTCAATGGTCGTCTCCCTAGCTTTTTTGTATAATTTTTGGGTCATCATCTACAGGTTTGCCTTTCAGGAGATCAACGGTGAGTCATCCATCATTCCTTCGCATTCAATAGTCAAATTTTCTCTAAAAATTTCCTTCCCGGAACTCCTATAGAATTTCGCTGGAGTTCCCGCGAACTATCGTCGGAACTCCATCATTTTTTCTCATGGGAATTAATTGATTAAATTTTTGTTTATAATCTTATGGAATTCGTTCCCAAAGATTTAATGGAAAAAATCGAATTTTTGAATTATTTTCCATGTGTTCTCGATTTGTCAAGAGTTTCAATGAGAGTTCTTGGAACTTTGGGAGAACTCTTATGAATTTTTAGAGTTCCAACGGAATTATTAGGTGAAGGATTTTTCTATTGAATATTTTTTATTCTCTCGATTGATTGAGGAGAAATGCTATTGATGGTTGTGATGGATTCGCAGGGGAAACTCTGGTCGTGTGGTTCTGCCTCGACTACTTCTCGGATCTTCTTTATTTGGTGGATATAGTATTTCACTTTCGCACCGGTTATCTCGAGGATGGTGTACTTCAGACAGACGCCGTCAAGTTGAGGAACCATTACATGAATAGCACGACTTTTTACATCGACTGTCTGTGCCTGTTGCCTCTCGATTTTTTGTACTTATCAATAGGATTTAACAGTATCCTGCGGAGCTTTAGACTGGTTAAGATCTATCGGTAATTCCAACTTATTCTCATTTTTTTCCATTTTCACACAATTTTTTCAAGAGTAAAAGACCTCCACGGAAATACTTGACATTTTTTTCCATCAAGTTCCATAAAATTTCTAAAGGAACTCCGAAAGTTCCACTGGAGTTCCATAATTATTTTAACGAAATACGTTATTTCTTTCTTAACCCATTCCATCACTCCCGATTTTCATTATTTTTATATAATTCCAATCCTGCAGGAACTCCAAGAACTGCAGGAGTTCTATAAAAAAAACAAAAGTCTATAGAATTTTCTCTATTCGATATTTCTCAGTAAAATATCCTGAAAGTTCAATAATTCCCAACGGAATAAAGACCAAAAAAAAATCCAATTTTTCTACATAATTCCGGGAGTTCCTGCGGAGTTACCGAATTTTTTTCGGGAATCGCGCGGTTTCTCTTGAAAATTTCCATACCCACCGTTCCCTCCAGGTCCAAATGCATTCCAATTAATCCCAAATGCAACACCGATGTTAATTTCATTCCTAATGAATTACTCTGCATTCCAAACAGATTCTGGGCGTTCATGGACAGAACGGAGCGACACACGAATTATCCGAATTTATTTCGCTCTACCTCTCTGGTCCATTATCTCCTGGTGATATTCCACTGGAACGGGTGCCTCTACCACATTATTTATAAGAACAATGGTTTTGGGAGCAAAAACTGGGTGTTCGATGATTCGGAAGAGGCGGATGTTGTTAAGCAGTATCTCCAGAGCTACTACTGGTGTACACTGGCACTAACTACAATAGGCGATTTGCCGAGGTACTTATCCCTTTATTACCCATTCGGTCCAGTCATCATCATTCTCCCCCGACCCTCCCCCCTTTTTTTTCCCCTCCTCACCCTCTCTCTCTCTCTCTTTCTTTCTTTCTGACTTTCTTTTACAGGCCAAGAAGCAAGGGCGAGTATTTGTTTGTTATAGCTCAACTACTCTTTGGTCTACTGCTATTCGCTACAGTTCTTGGTCATGTTGCTAATATCGTCACTTCTGTCAGTGCAGCGCGTAAAGAATTTCAAGGTAATTCAGCCATTTGTTGTTTAATTATGTAAAGATTATTGTACGGAAAGACTCAATTGTTGAGAAACGGTGGTTTTCTGTAGGGAATTGGAGTGGAACTCCACGAGAACTCCGGGAGTAATTTCACAGATTTCTTTTTATTTTAGATCATTAAGGTGGGATGATAATTTTTTGTGGTAGTCTGTCGATTTTTTTTTTTGGAACTCTGTAACTCTTGGAGTTACTCTCCATTTTTATTTCGTTTCTGTTCACTAGGTTCTGCTATTAATTTTCGTTGAGTTTAATTCAAAAATTCTGTAAAAATAATAACTCTTTGGTGAATGAGATCGAGAAATTGTATGTCATAGTGTCGATTGTCATAAAAATTGTTGGACGCTCAGAACTTTCTTGTTTAATAGCGCAATAACTCAACAAATGCTGTAAAATCTAGACGGTACTGAATATAGAATCGAATGCAACAGATTTATTCTCTCCTTCACCATAAAAATAGTCAGAAATCGATTTTCCGTTGTTCCACAATTTTCACCGAAATATTAGCCACAGACTAACAAATAATTCCTGAACTTAAATCATGCCTCGCTATTTCAAAGCTCACACAAAGAGTTCCAATGATTCAACGTCTGCCAGAGCTATTGTCCAACGAAGAGAACTCAGTTGCCAAATGGAATCGCTCTATCCTGGAATAAACCACATAGAAAAGAAAAATTCAGGAGAAGAAATCCATATTTTCTCGCCAGGAGAAAAAATCCCTGGGGTTGTCGCATTAAATTTGAAATATTGATAAAAAAATATCAAAGATATGAATAAAAATGATAAAGGAATAAATGAATTTTTTTAATTTGCGCATTAAATTATTTAATGAGTTAATTAAAATAATAATTCATACCTTTTTAACACCATCTATAAGGGTCTTGTAAAATTCATAAAAATATTTATGATAATAATTATTATGTCTGTAGGGGCTGGAACTCTCATCCGGGGGTTGAAAATTTCGGGTGATGATTTGAATTCTCATTCAACCCTCAACTCTCGGTTGTAAAAATTATTCCGGCACATGATTATCTTGGAATAAACGAGGAATTTACTCAGGCGCCAGGGGCTGTGTCAGAGAATTTTAAACTCGCGGAGTTCCATTTATAAATTTTTTAATACCTAGAAGCTGTCGTTTTTATTATCTGATATATTTTTCATCGAGGACTTCTGCCTTTCGGCTATTCATTTAAATTCAACGAATCTCGTTTCCAGAATTGCTTTCTTATTGCGCGGGTTTACAGTTACTGTTACAACCACAACATTCTAGGGTAAAAGTAACATTATGGGAATACACGGAGGTATAAAGTCGTTCTAGAAAGAGTACCCAATGAATATTTAGCAGTTGGCGGTCATTTATTGTGGAAAAATAAAATTTCGTCAAAGTGTTTTTCAAGAGGGAGAATTAATCATTACTTTTACGATTTTTTTAGATTTACTGTCGAAGTTTCCAGAACGTCAGCTTAAATTAAATTTTAAATAAATAATCATAAATATTTCTTAAATGTTTATGGTAAGACGAATATCTTTTTCGAATGACAGAATAATTATTTATAATTATTTTGTCTTGTTGAGAATCATGAAATTATTGAAGTTGGGAAAAATATTTTAATTTATTATAAACAATAGGGTTGAAGCAATCGATTACTTAATTATTCAATCGACTTTTAAACTTAATAACTTTTATGATCTTGCAGCGAAACTCGATGGCGTGAAGACGTACATGCGAATGCGTCGAGTGCCTAATCATCTTCAGGTCAAAGTGATCAAGTGGTTTGATTACTTGTGGTTGACCCAAAAGTGTTCTGATGAAGAAAGAGCAGTCAGCTGTCTTCCTGGTGATTATTCAATCATTTATTCAATTCCCCAATTTTATTTTTCACTATAATAAACAACAGACTCTAAAAAAAAGTCGTTTATTCATAAAAAATTGAGGGAAAACGAAAAAAAAAATTAATTATAGAAGAAAGATAATTAAACATTCAGTGCAACAATAATAATATCAATTCAATTTCTATTTTATCAATAATTCAAATAATAATTATCGAATAATAATTCAATCATTTCAACAATAAATTATAATTTATCCTGTTGTTAATAAAAATAATTATTTGTTGTATAAATAACGAAATATTGAGTTTTTTCAATTGAATCGTTGATTGAAGTGAAAAGAGTGGGGAATTTAAATCGTCTGCCTTTTTCCAGTGAATATTTTTTATTTAATTTTTAATTTTTATTAAATTTTCTAGACAAACTGAAGGCGGAAATAGCTATTAACGTGCACTTGGACACCCTGAGGCGAGTGGAAATATTTCAAAATACAGAGGCAGGTTTTCTCTGTGAGCTTGTCCTGAGGCTGAGGCCTGTGTTATTTTCACCGGGGGATTACATCTGTCGAAAGGGTGAATCCTCATTTCATCTAGAAATTGTCGTATTGATTTTTCCTGAGTGGCAAGTGGATTTTTCAACTGGGGGATGCCTAAGAAATGAGCAAAAAAAATTTTTAAAAACTCACAACACATCCATACATACATACATACATACATAAATACATAATATGTTATTAATTTTTTTATTTAATTTAATTTTTAATGAATATTTCAATGCGTTAATTAGTCGGAGTAAGCGCCAGAGAAGATTATAGTATTGCATTTGATTTTATGAATAAATATTATATTATTTAAAAAAATGAATGAGAATTGACATTTTATTTTCGCAGGTGAAGTTGGAAAGGAGATGTACATCGTGAACAGAGGTCGTCTTCAAGTTGTGGCAGATAATGGAAAAACAGTGCTTGCAACACTCAAGGCTGGCTCATACTTCGGGGAAATCAGCATTCTCAATATGGGGACAGCAGGTAAAGAGTGCGGTAAATATTCCAAGAGCAGTCCAGGTGTCCAGTCGATAGCCGTGAGAGCCGTTACCCGCCCATATTTTTATTACACACTTATCACGTATATTTCACTATTTATGTAAACTCGTTCGTTGACTAACGCGAGCCCTTGAATGTCCATTTTTTCTTATGAATTTTCATCAGCTTTTTTTCATTTCTACTTTCAGTATTTCTTTCATACTTCAGCATTCTCCCTTTGCTTGGGGAATTTACCCATTTATTTATCGTCATAATATTCATCTCCAACGCTCACCCGCATTCTTTGGGGTTTTATCACAGGAATTTTTTGTGCTGTTTAAAAAATTGCTGAATTCTCTGGAAAATTCAATTCACTCACCATTTTTTGAGAAATTCCCATTATTTTTGGGATTTTCATTAATTTTTAGCGCATAATCCATTAAACATTCATTTTACAGGATTTTTTAAGGGCATTAGGAATTTTTAATAATAAAAATCTCAGAGTTTTCTCGGGACTTTCACTTATTGGATATTTAAAAAATTCTAAAAATCATAAAGTATTGAAAAACATTGGAATTCAGGGGAAATTATAGGAATTCCATCTTTAGAATTATTCTAACTTTTTGAATATTCGAATAGATTTAAAAAACCGGAAGCAATCAGTAAAAATTTCAACAGTACAAATTCCACCGACCAATTTTATCGCTTCATCTCGCTCTCGGCTGTACAATTTTTCTTCTTTATTTAATTCCTCATTCATAAAGACAAATAGGCACCTGTTGCCACTCCTCACACCTGATTTTTATTATAAAAAAGCGTTTGTAGCGTTGAGTAGTTCATCATGATCAATCAATTTAATGTGACATGTACATTCCCCTTTTTCTCAATTACCCCACAAAATAATCAGTAGTGAAGTAAACGAAATCGATAAATTCTCATTTATATATTTATTAATAAATAAATGCTACATTTTTTATTCGCCATTTTCAATAATTTCCGACAATTCGAAAAATCGGGAGTCAATCGTTTCAATAATTTTATTACAAAATCAATATTTTTTCTTCAAAAACTCCAATCAAAAATTTATTTATCATTATTGTTATTAAATTATTCATCAATATATGCAATACTAATTAATTAATTAAATATATTCTATTGATAAATGAATTGTGTATTTAATTTGGACTGAAATTCACGTTTAAAAATTTTTTAAAAATCAATTATCACTTAGAATTTAAAAATTGATATGAAATTTTGGATACTCCACTACTGATTGCAGTTTTTCATAACAAACAAGGCATTTATAGAATAAAAATATTATCATATCGGATATAGTTCATGGAATAGTTAATTTTAGAATCATTTTGCATCGATAATTTTAAAGGAAAAAAGGACATTTGACAGTGAAATTAGACGCCTTTTGACTTCTATCTTGCGTGCAAGCTCTTTTTTAAAATATCTTGATCTTTGATAATGACGTGATGCGAAAGAATGTAAAACTGGGCAACTTTGGCTGCGAAAATAGACCCACCGCTTTATTTTATCCAAGAGAATTCGTCGAATTGTAATAGCTTCTTCTTAATTGCCTCGTAGACTTGGATTACACTCTGCATCCGCTATTGTAGTTTTAAGCATTCCAAGATTATTTACCAGTACTCGTGTAATTAATACGAAGACTTCTTCCTTTCTTAAATCCTCTAGATAAATAGAAAATAATTCTGTGGCGAAATCGTAAAGCGAGACGAATCAATTAATTTTCATTTTTTTCCTTGAGCAATATCTCAGAAACTATTTTTACATTTTTTCCTTTTCCTATTACCATTGTTACCATGGTTTGATAGGCGCCCCTTCGTCTTAGCCTTTCAGCCTCTCCTACTATCCTCTCATTAGCCTCTCCTACTATCCTCTCATTATTTTTTTGCGGTAGCATGGGCCGACTTTCTGTACTGCGCCCATTTGGCGTGTACTGAGGGAAACCATGTAAAACCTCAGTAGCGCAGCCGGCCGGTACTGCGGGGATTCTGCTGTGTTCATCAGTCACACTGACTCGGTGAACACACCAGCTCTCCGCACCCGTGCCTGACGGCGGCAGTCTATACGCCGATGGGTGTGACTAAGTGGGCACCCATCCAAGTACTAACCCAACTGAGCGTTGCTTAGCTTGGGTGATCGCCGGAGTCACACACCGCCCGCGTGGCTACTGTCGCCGCTCATCTCAGAAACTATTGATGTTAGAAAAAATATTAAAAAACCTGTTCTATCCGAAATTTAATCAGCCACAAAAGAGGTTTTTTGATTTTTCCGCGTAAAGTCGATAGTTTTCGAGATAAATTCATTTTACTTTACCGCTGCGCCACTGAATTGAATAACGAATAAAAACTCTTCAGACCGCAAATTTCTCATTTTTCGATGGAGTAAATCGTCACGTGAGACGTAATGTACATAATTCGTAGAACTTTGTCAAGATTATATTGAATGTTGTTTAATTAACGCGATAACCATTAAATGGCTACATCGTCGCAGGTAATCGACGTACAGCAAGTGTACGATCCGTCGGTTACTCTGATCTCTTCGTACTGAAGAAGAAGGACATGTGGGATGTACTCAAGGAATATCCTGCTGCCAGAGTGAGACTTGAGTCTATAGCTGTTAAGAGACTTGAAAAGTACAAAAGAGCACCACTTGAGAAAGGTAATTGATAATAATATCTCGGAGATTCCATTGGATTTTATAAAGGGTTAAAATCCCTAAAATTTTTTCCTCATTCTATTGAATTTCTATTAGTTTGCTATAGGAGTTCCCGATTTCCTCGATTCCCATCACAATTATATTCCAGAACACCACTCTTTATTTTAACTATTTACGTAAAAAAAATTGGTAACCTTTCCTTTGCCGCTCATGGAACTCCAACCCGTTCTATAGCCTGACGGTGATTGTGCCCTTTTTATTCCATGCAACAATAAAATTCATGAATATCTAGCTGCAATGGGGAGGAGCCAGAGCACACCAGGATTGATAGAGTCCCGGGGTCGAGTGCCCCTGGAGGAGATGTGGATATCGCCATTGGAGCTGAGAACTGCGCGTTCTCTCTTCTCTCCAAGTCCGAGCCCGATAACAGCCTCCTCGATCCACGGAATGCGGTCTGTGGGGGGCTACGTCGAGGGGGTACCTGTCATCGGAGCTCCAACAGGCCCCAGCAGAAGTGCTGAGAGTCCGATGAGCGCTACCAGCAGCGGGAGGAGCAGTGAGGATCACACCACGAGAGCACCGAGATCTACAGCAACTCAGCTGTCGATTGGAAAACAGTCTACGCATTCGGGTACGAGTTCCACGTTAGACAAAATAACTTGTGGAAAGAACCTGGGGATTAGATCTACTGGAACTCTGAGATATCTTATGAATTTTTGGAGAACTCCTATAGATTTTAAAAATATATTTCTATAGGAGTTCCCCATATGGATTTTTTTGCAGATTTCTATAGGAGTTTCCATGTGGATTTTTTTTTACAGATTTCTATAGGAGTTTCCATGTGGATTTTTACGGATTTCTATAGGAGTTCTCTACAATTTCATGAGAGTTTGAATAGAAATGCAATAGAATTTTTCTATCGATGTTTGAAGTTCTTGAAGTTCTCACATTTTCATATAATTTTTTCACACATGAACGAATGTGAATATTTTTCCAGGGATGACCTGCAACAGTATGACCCAATTGGTATCAGAGGGTGCAGTGACTCCAGTGCTTGCAGTGAGCAGTCACGAGGCCCTCCTTGCTGAGATAAAACGTCTGCGAGAGCGGTTGATCTGTTTGGAGACGGAGAATGCATCAATGAGTGTGAAACTTAATCAGCAACAGTGGGAGGTGGAGCACAGATTGGCAGCAATTGAAATGGAGATCTGCGGTGCTAGCTCAACATCGAGTATAGAGGACAACGAGCGCAATCGTGAGTCTATCATTTAACGAGAAATTCGGCCGCGGGATGTTCGCGGCGATTTGAGGCCAGACAGGATGGACAAGATAACGCGGTATCTGGATGATACCCGAGCTATAACTGCACCAACAACACCATGTGGCCTCTCCATTGGGAGTCCCAGTCAGAGATTCTTCGAGAGTGACAATGCCAGTGAAGTTGGCACTTGTAATGGTTTCTCTTCCCATCCTGGCAGCAAATCCAATCTTTTGTTGTGCATTCAGTGCGACCTGGAGGCACGTGCCTGCTCCTACAGGCCTCATACACCCTCCAGCAGATTCGACAGGTACTGACCAGAGGTTTTCTCAGATTATTTTATCAATTTTTGTAGTCCTGGAATTTTGGAATTCGGAAATTCTGGAGTTCTAGAAGAATCTCACCTATAGGATTTTTAGGAAAAGTGATTTTTTCGCATTCTAAAATCGATTTTTTTGGTTGAATTCATCATGATCCTAGGTATATCGAGGAGGATCGAGCGAAGATATGCGACGAGTGCGATTATCAGTGCCCTCACTGCAACATGAACACTCACGATGAGCCCGATCTCATCTGCTTTCGATGCGAGGATGAGGATCCCGTCCTCTGCTCCACGTGCGACGAGCCCATCACCGAGGGCACTGATTCCAATGGAAAAGGTACCCTTGGAAACTCGTCGTCCAGTGACAATGGGCATTACCCTGTCGACGCTGTCGTAAAAATTCAGGTCAATGATCAACTCCTTGACGTTGACTCCGATGATGGAACCGAGGGAAATCGACAAGAAGGAAAGAGTGAGGATCGCTTGTCACCGATTGTTGAGCATGTGTCGGCTTTCAGTGATGAGGAGTCCAATGGATCAAAGGTCAATGGACAGGCTAGAGGAGTTTTAGATAGCATGCTTGTTCTTTTTGTGTAAATATTTACGGCTGGCACAAAGAAAAAGGAGGAGAAAAGATTTCAGACTTTTTTCATCGAGAAACTCGATAATTTCTCCAGGAACTCCGGAGTTCCGTTAGAAAAATCTTCCCCGGTAGATTTTTCTAGAGTTCTGAAGGAATTATATGGGAAATTCTACCGGAGATCTATAGGAGTTCTGATAAAAAAAACGCTATAGGAGTTCCGGGAAAATGCTATAGGAGTTCCGTTAAAATTTTATTGGATATTGCATAAAAATCCCGAGGCTTTCTTCTATAGACAAACAGATTCAATTCCTATGGATTTGGAACTTTACAATTCTATTAATTAATTTTAATAGACTCTAATGGAGAACAATTAGTCGATAAAATTCCAATAGAACTCCATGGACCTCAATAGATCCCTCCCATATTCAATAGGGATTTGGTCGAATTTCTTGGAGAGAGAGTCAGATTTTTTCACAAAATTTCCCAGGTGGAAAAACAAATACGGGGGAATCCCTCAATTTTGTCGATTTTTATTTCGAGTTCTGGAACAAATCATCGGCCGAAGCCGGTGAATTGTGATTTTTTAACGGTTGTCGTGAACAACTAGTTCGATTAATTCCTTCACTCTAATAATTAATGGACCGATACAGCAGGAACGTGACGTAAATTCACTTCAATGCTCAAACCGTTGAATAAAATCTGTAAATAGTCAACTGCCAGGAAGAAAAAAAAAATAATGTAACAGTGTGATGTTGAGAACGTGCATCCGCGGTAATTCATAAATTTCGCAAGGACTGTGAAGATAAGACGATCCAAGTGATGAGTGAAGTGTTAAGTGATCCATTAGGTGATGAATGGGGTAATGAGTAATTAATGGTGAGGGTGAGCAGTGCAAGGATCATGCTTGATGCGCTTTTTTTTTTATTAATTAAACACGAGGGTTCGTGTTTGGGACCAAGCAATACGTGCATCTTCGTTGGAATTCGAATGAAATGCTTCTCTACCCCACGAGCAGTTAAACCTGTTATCATCCATGAACATTTTATTGTCAAATTATCACTCTCACCAGTCACGATCAATTTTAAATACTCAGTGAATGAAAAAGTAAAATTAAAATCATCTCATTGAGTAATGAAGTGGTAATGGAAAATAAATCCAAAATACTCAACAATTACACTGGAAATTTCAAGTGGAAAAATTGAAATTGTCAATTGGAAATTTATGGGAAAAGTTAAATTGAAAATTCTCCGCCACTTCATTGATTTGTTATGAAATCTACGCCATCCCTTCATCGAATGAGCCCTAGTCTCGTTAATAACAATTATAAAGTGTCTTTATAAACAATACAAGCCCATGAAGTACCTGCGGATAATCGAAAAACAAAACGGGAAATAAATTATTTCATTTGTCAGAGTCTCCACTGTCACGGGAACTTTGTAAATGCCTTTTTTCATACAACGATGTCACGACGAAAACTAAAAATGTACCTTTTTTACAATTTTTGAGAACAACAAATTAGTGGCATTGATTGAATCAAACTATTAATCCCAGACAATATTATTCCGATTATTCGTCATGCTTTTACGGAGGTACTTCTAAGTTACGAAAAATAAATAAATAAGGGAGACACAATGGGAAATTCTGCAATTTTTACTGCCATTTTAATTTAAGACTCTTCAATAGAGATATTTACGTGTTTTAAGAGCGCATCGAATTAATTTCAAGTGCTGGAATAAATTCGGTGGTAAAAGTTGTCATTTTAAAAATCGAATCGTCGAAATTTGCCACTGAATTCTCACGAATAAACAACATTCCACTCGATATAAACATTTTTATGAAGCACAGCTCCCCGATACAAATAAAGATCCACCGATTCATCGATCTCATCGCATTTTTTTCTTTCTGTATGATAAATTTATCAATTTGCTAATCAAACTGGACATTTTATCAACCGGTAGGAATTAAGGACAGGGAAAATCGATAACTATTTGCTAAATTCTAGTTGTAATAATGCTAATCATAATAATTAATCGTAATATTATACGAGAGATGAAATTGCGGATGGAAAAATTCAATAGAAAAATTTTCTCTTATTCTACATGAAACCAGAATTTTTATCTCATTTTTATTTCAGACTTTGAGAATTTTTCTGTTTAAATTAATTTGAAAATTGAAAATTTAGGGAAAATCACAGGATTTCCGATGAATTAAACAAAATAATAACAAGAAAATGTTTAAATTAATGCAATTGACTTTTCTATTGTGAAAAAATTATGGGAAAAATGATTTTTCTATTGAATTTTTTTGTAGAATGATGAGACCACCTGTGCCCATCATTCGTTTGAATATTCAATTAATGAGAATCTGAGCACATGATTAATTTGTATAAAACGTACGGTTATCTTCTGATTTAAAATGAATCCCGATGTGAAAATCCTGGGGAGAGAATGAGACAGTGATCTGAATAGGATTGTTATCGTAAATTTGTAAAGATATAGTGGCTTTTAAATTGAAATAATGTTTGTTTTGGTGAAAGGGAATTTTTCCGTGGGAAAAATGAGAAAAGAGAAAGAATTAAATGGACAACTCAATCATATTCAATGAGAAATATCAACAAACTATTGCCTGTAATTATCAATTAATTATACAACGTAATATTGATTTTATCGAAGATTTTATTATTGTTACGAGTTAATTCCTCGCATTTATAAATTATTACCGATTCAATGTACATAATTCAGCTCATGAGTTGAAATATCTGAGTAATGAGAGGAAAATTGCGTGTCCAATAATTAAATACACTAGCCATTTTTCATCGTCATGAGTTTGAAGTTAGCCTGATGTCTAGACAATTGTCTTAGGAATTAATGGAGAATTCGTGGGATGCTGATAATTGAAACATAATTCAGTGATTTTTTTTTACTGCACATTATTCTTGAATTTAAATAAATGAATGATCAGGAAATATTGGGAATTTGGTTATTTAATTTACCTGATTTTCGGAGAGGGGGGAGCTGAGGAAATCGAAGGTTTTGGATCTTCGTCGAGGGCAGGGCTCGATTTCATTTACTGAATCTCTGTAGTTCTTCCAGAGATTTGGGGAATTCAAGCAGACGGTGCCACCTCCTCTGTTGAATTGTGTGTCCTGTGGAAATTTAAAATTGAAGTGATTTTTGTAATTAAAACGATTGAATTAATCATTTTTATCACGAATTTTCGAGAAATTATTTATTAATTTATTTAGAAATATAGAAAAAATAATTATTATGATTAATGCAAAATCGTTTTTTTTTCGATAATTAAAATGAAAATTAATTAAAAACAACAAATCAATAAATAAATAAATAAAAAATATAAATGTCACTCACAGCTCTGTTAATATCTCCAACGCAAACCCAATTTTTATACTCTTTATTTTCCATTGTAACCGCCCATTTGGAGTGATCGCGTGAACTCTTGAATTCAACATCAGCCGCTTCCAGGAGCACTGACTGCACGTTATAAACTCTAAAAATCGTTAAACAATTGGTTTAATTGCACAATAATTCTACATAAAAGATAATAAATAGACAACCGTTTGTTCTGACTCTACAACAATTCTATTAAGGCCCGGATGGAGGGAATTTTTTCGCGATTGACAACTTTACGCCCTCCTATTCCGCGGACAAAACCCGAACCTTGATCTCAAGCGATGCCTTGTCGCTAACTACGGCAATCGCTGGAAACAAGGGCAACATCAGACAGTGGGGCTTTGGAGGGCGCCGAC